GCAGGCCCGGAGGAAGTGCCCTCCCACCCCCAGGCCGCGGCTCGCGCCCTGCGGTCTCAGGCCCGGCGGGCGCGCCCTGCCTCACAGTGAACGTGAGCCCGGGGGTCTCCGCCTGGAGGCCTGCGATGAGGGCGCTCCCCTCCGACTCAGCCCTCAGAACCCTTCTACTCTGCCCACCGCCCACCACCCACCCCCAGGTCCCTAGACCAGCAGGAAAATTGGTCCGGCCGGCTGGCGCCTGGGCAGGGAGAGGGTTCCCCAGCCCGCCTGGCGCGGCTCCTGGGGGTGGGATGGGGACCACGGCCGCACGCCACGGCGGCCGCACCGTTCCTTTGCTTCTGGCTGCTTGTCTGAGTGGACTAGTCGGACACCTGGCAGCTCAGCCCAGCTCTTGGCAGTTGGTCCAAGCCGGGAAGAGCAGAGGAGGATAAGCCCTGAATTTTCAAATTCAGCAACTTCACAGCTTCAGGAGAGCTTCGAAGAACAGGAGGCCCAGACCCAGATGCTTCAGGGAGACGGAGCCCTGAGTCTGGCCTTCATCTCTTGTGAGCACGGAGGGAAAGTCTGAAGCGTCTGCATCAGTCACTGGGAAATGCCAGTTAAGTCTGTACAAGCTCTTTATCTCACTCTCGTAAAGCTCAGTTCCTACATCTGTTAGCTAAGAAGGGCGGGGAGTCTCCCTGGACCCTCACACATTCCTTCCACTAGTCCTCACATCGGGCCCAGGCCCAGAGGCGCTGCCTATAGCAAATCACGTCTGACAAAACTGCCATGGTAGACAGCTGCAACGCCCCCTCGCGTGCTAGCTGCGTTGGCAGGGGAATAGCTGCATGCACCCTCCCTGGGACAACCGACTCTGTGCAAGGCTCACCAGCCCTGCTCTGTCACTCGCCAGTGCCCAGGGAGCCAGGCTGCACTTTCGGGTCAAGGCAGCAGCGGTGCCGGATCGGGCACCCCCCACGCGCTGCCTCGTGCCTCAGACCCGCAGGACAGCAGGCAAGGGCCAGAATCCGCGCCCCACCCCCAGCCCCAGGGGTGGACTCGGGCTCTGGTTCAAACCCCCAGGTGCAGGACAAGGAGAGGGCCGCTTGGGGGGCCATTTACCTGGATCAGCTCCAGCAGCTTCTCCTGCACCTGGAACATCCAGGTAACAAACATCACTGGGTCCAAGAGTCTCCTGGCAGCTGTGGGCTCCTTGGAGGCGGGAGGTGCCTTCTGACGCATCTCCCTGCTGGATTGGAAGCAGCCATGAGGGGCACAGGCCTTGGGGAGGAGGGCAGCTCGAAGCTGAGGGCAGTGGGCTCCAGGCCGGGCCCCACCCCCCCCTGCACACAGGCCATGGCTGGGGAGGGCAGCTGGGGGTGACAAAGGGGAACAAAGGGCTCAGGGGTCACACACAAGCTCCCCATACATGCACGGACACGCTAACACACCTGTACACACACGTGTGTGCACACGCTGTCCCCTGAGGACCACCCCCGCCCAAGTGGCCCTTCCGATGGCCTCCGCCTTGACCACAGCCCTGTGCCTGAGGGCCCTCACCACAAGGCAGTGGCCTTGCCCAGGACCCCAAGGCCCCCCAGGAGGACTCACTGCCCAAACAAGGTGGCCCTGCCCCAGGTGTACAGCTTGTAATAGTTTTCCCGGTCTTCACCACTGGAGGACAGGAGCACAGAGAGGTGGCTGCAGAGGACCTCCTGGAAGCACACTCTGTAGAGGGCCAAGAAGCAGACCCCCAGCCGGCCCTCCAGCTGGGGCCCCAGGACATGTTCCACAGCCTTGCCCAGCTCCTCCAGGTACCCGCTCAGCTCGGCCCCGGAGACGGGGCCGGGCAGCCGGGCCTCGGCATCCTTCCTCAGCAGGCTCTGCAGCTGACTGTCCCAGGCCTCCAGGCCACCCCCCTGGAGGGTGCTGGGCTTTGGTCCCTCGAAGTTCTTGGCCCAGTTCACAGCTGCCATCACCGACTGGAGCTTTGGCTGCAGCTGCCGGCTCCTCCCGCTGCCTGACAGGGCCTCCTGGACGACCTGCCACATGCCCTGGGCCACGGCCTGGTACTGGGAGCCACAGTCCTGCTTTTCCGCTGCCGACCGTGAGATGGTCTTGCAGGCTTCCAGGAACCGGCCCTCTTGGACCAACTGTGAGATGTCTGGAAGAAGGGAGCCGGGGGTGAAGACTTACCAGGGCCTCGATGGAAGAGCACTGGGGAGGCGGGGCAGGCGCCTGCCACAGGGCTCCTCGGGGTCACTCCCCCTTGCATGAGCGCGCAGGCACTGGACTCGCCCACCAGAGGATTCAGAGGCCAGTCTGAAGAGCCTTTGGGAGCAGGGTCTATGGGCCAGTCAGGAGCAGAAGGTCAAGGGCTTTTACTGCGCGTGCAGGAGGCCAGTAAGCCTGGTGCTGTGTCGCTTTGGCTTCAGAGCAAAGCCTCACACCTGGGAGCCTCTAAGCTCCTGGGGCCGCTCTCGCCGTCATCAGCTGTGGGTTGTTAACCCAGCATCCTGCCTGGACACAGAGGCATGCGGCTGGGGGGGGCAGAGCTACTAGAAAATAGTCCAGCACAACAGTTCTCAGCACGAGTGCATGTCAGGACCACCTGGGGGGCCCCTCCAAGCCCAGGCTGAAATTTGCTTTTCTGCACGGTTCCCAGACGGTGCTGACAGCGCTGGTCTCAGGACCACAGTTAGAGAACTAGCTGCTCTACGTGGTGTCGAGGGCAGTTCGCACGCCGCCTCCTTCCACGCTCAGCTCAGCCACGGAGATGGGTAGGTAGATGGATGATAAATGTAAGACAGATGTGCAGATGACAAGTACAGATAATTGGCAGACGGTGGTTGATAGACACCTGGGTGGCAGGCGGATGGTAGACAGACAGGTTGGGAGTAGATGGCTGACAGGTAAATGAGACAGAGGGGGAGACGGCTCTCCCACAGAACCACCCTGGAAGGGGCTCGGCCCGCAGGCAGGGTAGGGGTGCAGGTGGTGGTCTGCAGCCTTCCATTCCCCCTCCCAGAGAGCCTGGGGCTCCCCGGTTTCTGGCCCTTCTACAGACAAGGAAGCAGCTCAGACCTGAGCAGCAGCTGGAGGCAAAGTCTCTGAGATGGGTGCCTGGGGCTTCCCTTCAAAAGTTCGGAGGGAAAGGGGGATCTCGGCCACATCAGCCAGTCCAGCCCAGGCCCCGCATGTGACGGACCAGTGGATGGAAGGGAGAGTCCCCCGCCCCAGCTGATGCCCTTTCGAGCCCTTGGCTTTCCCCTGGACAGGGTGGTGGCCTCCTCATGGTCCCCTCTTCTATATTCTCACCTTTCCCCTCTGTCCTGCTGCTGCCGTGCTCGTGAGCAGTGTCCTTGGCCACACGTGGGCTCCCTGTGCACTGCCCTGTGCCACGCCCAGACCTCCCCATCCGAGCACACAATCCTCAGGAGCCCCAGGTACAACCTGGGATCCCGGCCACCCCGGGCTGTTCAGGGAGGGCACTTCTCCCAAGCAAGGCACCAGGGGGTGGCTCTCTGCAGGGTCTGGGCTGTGGTTCCCAGTTGGGTAGCTGGTGGCAGCACATTACGAGGAGAAGGATTCTCAGGGGTGCGGAGGCCTGACCCTGCTGTTCTGAGCTGGCTGCACTGCCTCCTACCCGATGCCCCAGCATTTCATCAGTCCCCATCCTTAAAGCAAATATAACAAATGCAGGCCTGTTGTGAATCCTGGGGCATGGGTGTTATTCTCTGTGCTTTTCTGAATGTTCCATTTCTCAGACATTAAAAAAAGAAGAAAGTTTGTATCATGGGTTGAATAGTATCCCCCAAAATTCACAACCTTCCCAGAGCTTCAGAATGTGACCTTATCTGGAAATAGGGTTGTTGCAGATGTGACTGGTTAAGACGAGGTCCTGAGGGGAGGGCGTAGCTCGGGGTCGGGGGCATGCACAAGGTCCTGGGTTCAATACCATTAAAAAAATATATAAATACATAAATTAAAAATATATATAAATACATAAATAAACCTAATGACCTCCCCTCTTCAAAAAATAAAGAAGGTAAATAAATCTGTGTTTTTAAAACTGTTTTTAGAAAGTTAGCATGCAAACTAACAAAAAATGAAGTTGAAAAAGATGAGGTCCTATTGGAATAGAGTGGCCTTTTATCCCGTATGGCTGTGTCCTTATAAGAAAAGAAAACTAAGACACATAGAGAAGAGGCCACGTGAAGACAGAGGCAGAGACTGGAGCCTCCACAAGGCAAGAGGAAGAGAAGGATGCTTTCAGAAGCCGGAGGAGGCAGGACGGGTCCTCCCCACGATCCCTTCCAGGGAGAATGGCCCTGCCCGCACCTTGATTTCCGACTGCTGGCCTCCAAGACTGACAGAATAAATGTCTGTGGCTTTAAGCCTCCCAGGTGTGGTCACTTGTCATGGCAACCCCAGGACTCTTCAGTCCCCCTGGCATCAGCTGGGTCACGCCCAGACTTCCCCTGTGCCCCACTTCCCAAGCTCTGGGCTCTTAGAAAGCCTTCTGGCCCCTTCTGACCAACCTGTTCAGCAGGCAAGTCTCAGCCCCCGAGACCAAGCCTCCCCACCAGCCCAGCCCCGACCCAGGACGCGCCTGCGGCGCCATGTCCCAGCCTTCCCAAGCTCGCAGTGCTCCTCGCCTAGAGACTCTCCCTGCCCCGCCCCGCGCAGCCACCACCACTGGAGACATCCCTGGTTGTCTGTCTTCCTCCACCAGGCGCCTGCCCCCGACTGTCTGACCCTCAATCGCCACCTCCTTCAGCTGCTGCCACCCTGACTGACTGGGGGCACCAGCCCAGAGCTTCAAGGGCAGTGCTGGGGCCACGCCCCCAGCAGGCTCAGCGCCCAGCATGGTACCCGCACACATGCACTGCGACCGTTAACACCCATCCCTGGAAGGGGATGCCTTCCGGAGCCTCTAGGGACCCACAAGTCATTGCCAGAGGAGAAGCCCCCGAGGGCAGTCCAGGCTCTGGGGGGCTCTGGACTGCAGCACCTGTGGGAAGGAGACCCCAAGAGAAGGGCTGTCCCCAGCATGAGGGGCTGTTGGGATCAGGCTCTCAGGACCAGGGGGCAGAGTCACAGGGCGCTGGGGTCGGTGGCAGGGGCAGAGAGGCTTTGGGACGGCACAGGGGAAGCACCGCGAGGGGCAGTGGCCCAAGACTGAGGCTGTGAGCATCTGGATGCTTCTGGCACCTGATGGATTTCAAAGGCCCCGTTTCTCAGCATCCAGGATCGGAGGCAGCAGCGCCCCTGAGCGACCACAGAGATGCCAGGAACCAGGCATGGAGAACAAATTAAATGAAGAGGTTTTGAATATGCTAAAAGGGAAAAGAGGTGAGGACACCCCGAGTTCTGGGATGAGCACTTAGGGGCTAGGGACGATCGTATCTCCTGTGGGTGTCGGGCAGGGCAGGGGTGAGCTGAGGATTCTGTAAATTCGGAGGGCTGGGCTGGGCCAGGCCGGGAGAGGGTGGAAGGGAATTCCACTTTGGATCCCACAGGAGCCTCAGCAAGACGACCCGGCCTGTAGCCACAGGTTCTGGATGGAGACATTAGTGGGGATACGGTCAGGCAGGCAAAGACAGACACTTGGTGTCCCTAGCTGTCTCTGCACATGCCCAAGCTGCTAGGGCACAGCAGACTGGCCCGCCTGGCACCCACCAGGCCCTGTGCAGGCCCATGGAACTGCAGACAGACCACCTGACCTGGGTCACGGGCCAGCCACACTTGGCATGGGGAAGGAAGGAAATGGCCCTGAAAGAGTGGCCGTCCTGGCAAGGACACCCAACGTCACCAGGCATGGAGCTAGTGAGGAGAGACCCTCCCTCAAGATCCCATCACCTGGGAATCAACTGATAAAGGCTTGTCCCTTCTCAGGGGACAGTGCTAGTCACCATCCAGATGCCAGAGATATAAAAGCAGCTGGTGACACCCCATGACCCCACGACCCTGGGCTCCCACGACAATCTGCCACTTCCCACTGACCGCATGTAAAACCTGCCCCGTTTTCTCTTCAGGAAGTCACTCCCTACATTACAAACACACCAGCGCCTCCCAGAAAACCCAGCCACTCCCACCAACCCACTATGGACCAGAGCCTTAGTTAACAGAATGGCCGCAGCCCCACTCTCCCCTTCAAGGGCGCCCAGTGAGTTTCCCTGGGCATAGACCCATGCTGGGCTGTGGGGACACAAACATGGATCAGACACAAACCAGACACACACAGCCCCAACCTCACCCCCAGGTGCCTCTTCTCTCACTCCTGTGCCCCAGAGCCTGGCCCACAGCCAAGTATCCAGCTCTGGTTGCCTGGATCTGAACCTTGAACTCCTCTCTTGCTGTGTGTCCCCAGGCAAGTGATGCAAATTCTCTGAGCCTGTGTTTCATCAGCTTTGACTGGAGCTTCACATGTCAGCCATGGTGAGGTGCGTCTCACAAAAGGGAGGACTGCTGGCGGCTGCATCCTGTGTGGGTGCCAGTCCTGCTCCCCACTCCAGCCCCATCACAGCCCATCGCAGGACAGGCGGTAGCCAGCACCTCTCACCAGGTGGGGTCCTCCAGGCTTGGGGAGGAAGGGTCTTATCCCTCAGTCTCACTCCTCCAAGCCCTCAGAGTGACACCCACCAGGGTGGCATGCCATAAATACTGAATGAAGGGATGAACACATGAGCAAAGGAGTGAACAAACGGAAGAACCAAGAGACCAGGACATCCTGCCAGATGAGAAAGGTGACGCTCATACCTTTAGAAAGTTCTTCCTGACACACAGCAGGGGCGTGGTGCTCCTCCTTACTGCGGGAACCTTTCTTTAAAAACTGCATCTTCGATTTGGTTTTGTTCTGTCTGCTCGAGTGCTCTCGGGTCGCCATTGAGCAGATCTCTTGGAGCTCGTTATATGCTTCTGCTCCTTCCCACCTTGATTTCTTCTTCCCTGGAAAAAACCTCCTTTTGAATTGATCCATCTCGCTGTCTTGATCAGCCTGGCTCCACAGACAGCCTCTCAGCTTCTGAGTCCCTGGCCTTTTTATTGTCTCTCCCGAACAAAAAAAAAAAAAAGCACAAATGGGAGTGATGGAAAAGTTGGGTGGGCACCCGAGTAAACGAAACTGAAATGGAAATGAATGCTTTTTAGAGTTTCCTGTTTCACACAGCAGGGCTTCCCTCTGAGCAAAGGTGGCAGTTTCATTATTTAGCCCAAGAATGTTTCCCTGATGTCTTGGGTCAATTCTAGGACAGGGCAGAAGGTCATGCAGTTAGAAGGGCCACGTGAAGCCTGTGCTCACAGTGGACCACTCCCCACCACCATCGCACTCCCACACTCCCACACTCCCATCCCATCACTGCTGTCAAAAGTGAGGATGAACTCTGTTCAGGATTTTTTTTTTTCAGTCTGTCACTAAAGAAGTTACCCATAGCTATGATTTCTTTCATTTTTAAAAAAAATTGTAGTAAAATATATGGAACACAAAATTTACCATTTTAATCATTTTTAAGTACACATACAGTTCAGTAGCATCAACTAATACACACTGTTGTGCAACATCACCATCATCTCCAAAACTCTTTTCATCTTACAAAACTAAAACTGTCTCCGTTCCCTACCTTCAGTCCCTGGCAAACCCTGTTCTATCTTCTGCCTCTGCAAATTAAAATGTTCTCGGTACCTCACATACGTGGAATCCTACAGTATTTGTCCTTTAGTGACAGGTTTATTTCACTTGGCGTAAAATCCTCCAGGTTCATCCATTTTACAGTGTGTGTTGGACTTTCCTTCCTTTAAAACAAAATTATGAAACAGTGAATTAACTTTATTACCAATTCACTTTTTAAAAATTATTTGATGGTGCTAAAATACACACAACATGTAATTTACCAGCTTAGCGGTGTCCAAATGCACACATCGGTGTGATTAATTGTATCATCACACATTGTTGATACATCCATCCACCTCCAGAACTGTCTTCATCTTCCAAAGGGAAACTCCGTCCCACTAAATACTCACTCCTGCTTCCTGCCTCTCCCCAGCCCCTGGAAACCGCCATCCTACTCTCCGTCTCTCAGAATCTGACTCTCCGGGGTGCCTCATTTAAAGAAAATCATCCAGCATTTGTCCTCCTGGGACTGGGTTGTTTCACTCACCAAAACATCCTCAGAGTTCATCCACATGCTAGTTCCTCCCTTTCGAAGGCCAAATAAGCCTCTGTTGGATGGATGGACCACATCGTGTTTATCCATCCGTCCATCCGTCCGTCCATCCACCCATGGACTCTTGGATGATGCCACCTTTTGGCTACTGTAAACAGTGCTGCTGTGAACACGAGCACACACTTCTGTTAAAGCCCCTTTCAGTTCTTAGCTGGGCTTTCTTTCCCACTGACAACGGCATTCTCACCACTGGGGTTTTGAAAGCTTCATGCACCTTAGAAGCTCTCACTGGCTCTCGTGGACGCCTGGCATCCTAATTTCATGCCAGAAGAAACTGCAGCACACATCCCTGGAGGCTTCGGCAGGACCCAGACTTGGGGCAGCTGCTGTTCAGCGTGCTGTGAAGTAGGGACCCAACATCACCTTTTTCCACGCAGATAATGAACATCTCCCTGCTGTAGTAACTCCGGACTCCAATCTGACATCAGAGACAGCTCTCCCTTATGTGTCCAACATTCCAACTTCAAAACTGAAATCTGCTTCAAGCCAGACTGCAGTCTGGCTTAACCCCTAACCCTGAGAGCCCAGGGTACCTGAACCTGACATATCCTGTGTGAGTTTCCTGTCGCTGCTGTGACAACCGGCCTTAAATGTAGTGGGCGAAACCACACAGACTTATGATCCTATGGTTCTGGGGGTCAGAGGTCTGCCATGGGTCTCCCGGGCTGCGTTCCTTCCCATGGCTCTAGGAGAGGATCCATTTCCCCCTTTCCCGTCTTCCGGAGCCCCCGCCCTGCCTCCCTCTCCCACTAACAGTTAAGGACCCTGTGAGGACAGTGGGCCCGCCAGGTCATCCAGGCCCCACTCCCTGTGCTCAGGTCGGCTGGTCAGCAACCTTAATTCCATCTGCGTCCTTAATTCACCCTTGCTGTGGAAACTGGCATAGTCACAGTTTCAAAGGTTAGGACCGGGCATCTTTGAGGGCACTGTCCTGTCTAGCCCCCTGCCCAGTTGGCTACAGCCTCCTCTCTCCTCAGCATCATGGGATGACCTCCCCTGGTCTCCACCCTCCCCAAGCCCTCTGCAACCCAGCCTGAAGAGTCTGGGTCTCTCTCTGTCCTGAGCTCCACTGCGTAGCCACTATGTAGCCTCCTCACTGAGGACTCAGTTCAGCATTCTGGAACATTCCTGTATTTCTAGGATAGTGCCCTGAGTCAAAGGCTCTGGGGTGATGAGTATGAAACACGTGGTATTCAGAATCCAGAACCAGCAAGACGCTCCAGCAGCCTGAACCAAAGCCCTGGGTCAAGTGCAGGAGGTGTGAGCACTCACGTTCCTTCTGATGCCATGGCCGACCTCGGGCGGTGACTGGGGAGGCTGCCGCGAACGTGTCCAGCGGGGTGGCTTGTGAATATCAGCATCCCGTTGCAATTCTCCAAGAGTCCGGGATGAGTGCTACCAAGAATTGGGATGATGGCCAGACGGTAACTACGCTTATCCAGGGGGTCAATTTGCCACGCATGGAAACCGAATCACAACGCTGCGCGCCTGGAACTGACGTGGTGTTGCGGGTCACCTACACTTCAACAAACAACAGCAGCAAGAAGAGAATAGAATGATGGCTATCATGCTGATGGGAGGAAGTGGCAGGGCCGTGGCGTCCTGCCTGGGTCTGGGAGTCTGGGCACACAGGCACACCTCGACTCCGGGGTGGCCCCATCTGTAGTGCAGGTGAGCAAGAGCCTTCTGAGCCCCCTGTGCTGGTGACACACAAGCACTGCAGCCTGGATGAGGCCGTAGGAGGATGGGTGGACCGAGAACAAAATGTACCCACCAGCTGGGCTCGGGGCCAACCAGAGAAGCCCAGCCCGGGACCTTCCGAGCACAGCACCTGTAACTTGGGCAACTCCGGGCCGGAGCCTCTCGGGACAGTGCTGACAATGCAGACACGTGACCCCAGAGAGCAGGTCAGCCAGGGAGGAGTGAAGTTACCCCATGGGAACCAGGCGGTTCCGTTTTCTCCTGGAAGGAAAGGAGCTTATTTATTTTCAGTTCTGCTCTCTGACTGTAATCCTGCAGTTTCTCGGAAACCACATGGAAGTTCTTGTTTTTGTTTTTGTTTTTATAACATTTTTATTGAGTGATAGTCATTTTACAACGTTGTGTCAATTTCCAGTGTAGAGCACAATTTTTCAGTTATGTGTGAACATACATATATTCATTGTCGCATCTTTTTCACTGTGAGCTACCACAAGATCTTGTATATATTTCCCTGTGCTACACAGTTCTCCTGAAAATATCTAACTCTCTGAAGGCCTGTTCTATCAGTTTTTCCAGAGCACAGAGAGATTTTCCTGATCCCCACCCCGAAGGCCTTTGGGGGAGCGTTGGGGCCCACGGCTGCAGCAGCTGTGACGCAACTCAAACCGAGGTAGATGGCAAGTGCCAATTCTCAGTTGGTAAGAACAGAGCACCCTCTCTTTCCCCCCATATGACGTCCGTCAGATCCACACCATACATGGGAGAGTGGCCCCCGGCACAGGGGGAGGGGGCCAAGGGGATCACTGGGGGGAGGAGGGCATTCATCAAATCCACTGGGATTTTAAGCCTTTGCACAACAAAAACTTACCCTTCTGATATCCTTGCAAGTGGACACAGATTGGCTCCAAAAACAAAGAGGGCTGCAGTGCCTTTGTAAAAGCTGAAGCCACGTGCAGGCTCAGATGCACCACGAAGGAATCGGTCTGACACACCGTTTACAGTGGCCAGAGATACTGGACCTCCCACCGCCACTGACAGCCACGAGGCGCAATGAGACACGCAGCTCAATGGAAACAGCCCAGGACGACAAACTTGCTGCTTGCTCCTGGCCCCGCTCACCTATCTCCAAAGCCAGCAGCCTCACACCTCTCTGACCTGGCTTCTGCCATCACTTCTCTCCCTCTGCCACACCTGGGGAAGGGTCTCAGTTTAAGGACTGATGTGGCTCGACTGGGCCACCCTCAATCCATTTGCGCTGCCCCTTTGGCTACATCGGGGAACATAGTCACAGAGCCCAGGGATTAGGGTGGGGATATCGTTGGGGTGCCATAATTCTGCCGACCTCGATGATGTACCATCAAATCACACATGGTGTGACACAGGAAAATGGAACTTGAGGGGATGGCCGTGTCCCAGGTCCCAGGCGACTCCCTGGGACGTGCCCCATTGGGTGAGGGCCCTTGGCTTCACTCAGGAAAGAATTCAAGAGCAAACTGTAGTTGATTTATTCAGAGAAGTAGATTGATTCAGAGAGATGCACACTCCTAGACTGAGCATGGGCCTTCTCAGAAGGCAAGAGAGCGAGAGGCCTTGGGGTTCAGGGTTCGAGGTGCAGTGGTGCTAGTTTTCATGGGCGTGGTAACTTCCTATGCTAACAAATGGGAAGATTATTCCAACTACTTTGGGGGAAGGGGCGGGGATTCCCAGGACCTGGGCCACCGTCCGCTTTTCGACTTTCGTGCTCAGCTGGGGAACAGTCACGGCCCCGGTGGGAGTGTCATTTAGCATGCTAATCTATTACAGTGAGCGTATAATGAAGCTCAAGGTCACTGGAAGTCATATCTTCAATCGCTTGTCATTGCTTTAATAAAGGCTGTGCTCTGTCCACTTCCCTCCTGTTGCAATGGCACAGAGGTCACCCTTGTTTCTTTTTTTTCTTTTGTTCAGATTTTAAACACTTTATTTATTTATTTATAAAACCAATTGATAGTGTTATAATTTCTGTACAGTAAACTACACATATTTCACAAGTCTCATTCCTTTTTATAGTTGCATGATACTCCACTCTGAGGACAGATCATGGCTCACTCAAGCATTCCCTTCTGTTGGAAGTAAATAAAATTTTGTCTTGAGTCCACTTTAAGGTACATCCAGTGGAATCCCAAACAAGACTTTGTGTATT